CATAGGTTTTTGCATTTCCATTTTTTATAAGTTTAGATATATTTTTTAGTTATTTTCTTAAATAATTATATTTTAAAATATCAAACGAGAGAAGAAGATATAGAAAGAGAAACAAATAATGATAATTAAATAGTGAATATATTTATAATAATGAATAGATTCAAAAAGGATATATTTATATATTCATTTTTTTTAAATCTGTTTTTTTTTTATTACAATAAATATATTTATTTTCAAAATAATTTTAAAGTAAATATACTATTCTAAGAGCGCGCGCATTAAATGCATTAATTTTCCCCATTATATTACATTTGGCTAATTGATAATTTATAGAAAAAATAATAATATGCATGTTGCACACACAATAATAATTTAACTATAGAATTTCGTGAAATATATTCCAATAGATGGTTCTAGTTCAAATTACCTCATTTTTTTCGTTTAAAATATTTATTTACATTGCATAGATGATAAGGCTTATTTTGTATAATAAAATTATACATATATATTTTAGGTTTAAGTAATTTTTGTGATTAGATATATAGTAATATTTTACAGTAGAAAATTACTTCAAATAAAATATCTAAACTTGATGCAATAGTACGTCATCTGCTATTTAAAATGTAAACTATTTATAACGCATGTTTCTTTTTAAAATAAAGCAATTTTACTACTGTCATTACTACAAAGAAAAAATCTTATAACGAAACCGCTGGGAGGGTTTGCCACTGATGAGCCATGTGCTCTCCTATTAATTCTATCATTACATCCATCTGGGACAGAGCATGGAAGCTGTGGGTTCCTGTCTAGACATCATGGAAGCCAATCCTGATCTAACGATTGGACAGCAAATAGAAGAAGAGGAATCTCTAGAAGTGCCGCCATACAAGGTCGACTATTGCCTCCTCTCATCAGTTGAAAAGATTGATAAAGAATTCCTTAAGATCCTTCGTGAAAATGACGATCTCTATGAGCAAGAGGTTTTGAAGAATAATCAGAACATCTTTGAATTTATAATTCGTCTTGAGTAGTACCTTGAGAAGTCAGGCACTCCTGAGGAAATCTGTCGCATTTACTTCCTCCATCTTGATCATATTTATTATAAAAAAGATGAAGAGGCAGTTGTTGATCGTCTGGTGAAATGCATCAATAAACATGAAACCAAAATTGATGTTCGCATCGACTCGATGCTTATGCACATCTATAACCTGGCACTTCACGATAAGTTGGTTGAAGCATGGAGCCAGCTCCGCTGGATAACTATTCCAAAACCTGAAACCAGCCAAATCCTTTACAACCGTGCTCTCAGCCAACTTGGTTTATGCAGTTTCAGGCTCGGAAAATATCAAGAAGCCCACGATTTCTTAAATGAGCTTCATGCATCAGGTCACGTTAAGGAACTCTTGGCTCAAGGCTATCAACGTAATGACTCCGAGAAAGAGAAACAAGTGAAGAAGCATTTGCTTCCTTTCTACAAGCGCATCAACCTGGAAGTCCTTGAATGTGCCTACCTGGTGTCAGCTATGCTCATTGAGATCCCTAATGTCGCCAGAGTAGAAAACAGAATAGGACACGAGCCTGCCATCAGCAGAGGTCTGTATCACCATCTCCGCACCCTGGAAAGAATGGTGGCCTTCATACCCCCAGAGACTATGCGTGAACACGTAGTTGCTGCCGCCGTAGAAATTCGTTGCGGCAAGTGGAAGAAGGCCAGGGATTTTATTATAAATGAAGAGATGAATACCAAAGTTTGGAAACACTTCCCTGAACAAGAGAAGCTCCTGGATATGGTAACTGCTAAAATCAAAGAAAGCTGTCTTAGATGCTATATACACCAATATGTCTACGGCTTCCGTCCGAATTCTGTGAACTTCCTTTCCAGAAAATTTGAAATCGATTCACTGCCAATCTGCTACGACCTCATCCTGAAGGAACAACTCCCCGCCGTTTTGGAAAATGGAGACGACGATGTTTACTTGAAGGTCTTGCCTAACTGGACCAAGACTACCGAGCTCTTAAATAGATATGCTGACACTGTTCTGAGCATAGAATCACCGGCAAATGTAGAAACTGATGAGGATTAAATAACTACATGGGGTTCTTTTTTTGTAAATCTTGTACATATATAATATAAACTCTTAAATAAAAGACTTTTAAATTATATATCCGCTCTTTTAATTTGTTTTTATCAAACAGTAGTAAAATTTTAATACAATGAAACCTCCCTGTAAAGGACATATACCTAATTGCAGAGCCAAAGTTTCATTTAGGGTAAGGTGTCCTCTTACCGGAGAGTTGCTAAATAGAAAAAATAGTATCTTTGGCAAATGAAAACTGTCCTTTGTTTGTAGAGAGGTTTTGTCCTCTCGTAGAGGTTCTACTTTATATTCTGATATAACGTGATCATGTCTACAAAAATATTCAAAGTAAAAATTGATAAGACATCATGATCAACAGAAATAATCTTAAATTACGAGTGATTTGCATTATGCAGCGCTTTAAAAAAAATAACTATCATCACCCTAGGTTGTGTATTTTTTTTTTCTCTTTTTGGATTGGTTCTCTATTGGCCATACATATTTTAAAACTCTATTTACATATTTGCATGTTAAATTTCTGTTAGTAATGATTAGTTAAGATAAGGGATAAAAATTGTTAAAGTAAGAAAAAAATTGGCTATCACCTTTTATAAGGCATTTCAAAAATGCTGCAAGAAGTTAATTAAAGACTTGAGCAGAGATAATCAAGAAACAGATACAAAGTGTTATTATTTTCTTTAAATTTATGTCTCCTTATTTACACATTTTCTTCTCGCTAAATTGCATATGCGACAAAGAAACATATGCAATTCATTGTATATATATATTTTGCTTATCTCTCCCTCCAAGAACACGTGAGTCATGATAACTATATTGGGTAATGTGGTACAACTTTGATTATAGATAAGAATTATAAAATAAAGCCACAATTATTTTTTTTAATTACATGTGTTATTTTGGTTAACAGCGCGTTGATATCATTTTCAGATAGAAGATTTAATTTTTAAATTATCAAAAGGTATGGCTCATAGTCAAGTTTAAAAAAAATATCATTCTATATACGGTACAGTAGAACAACCTCCATGAGAGGACAGTCTTGCTAGAGAATACCTCTCTACAAAGGACAGTTTTCATCGTCAAAATTACCATTTTTACTATTCAGTAACTCTCCGGTGAAGAGGACACCTTTAAAGGACTTTCAGCTCTTCATTCAGATATCCTTTACAGAGAGGCTGTATAACCTTTTAATATAACAGTTTTTATTGTCAAAAATCCCAAAAAGGCTATTTTTTTCTCTATTCTCTAACCGTGACTTTAACTGGAATTCAACTGAAAATTCTCATCCTTCGGGGTATTGAAATAAAGAAGTTAGACATTAGTTTTTTTTTTTTTCACATCTTGTCGAGTTTATGTGTTGGAAGAGCTAATTACATCTGATAATTAAAAGTTCTCAACCTGCAACAACCCCAAACTCATCATTGACTGTATTTGATCATCCATTGATGAGCTCTACTCATTTCCAGCAGACACCATCAACAAGCTCTACAAGCTTGATACCCTGATGTGATTGAGTGGAGATAAGAAAGAAGAAGACACATCCCCAGTAGACACCATCAACAAGCTCTACAAGCTTGATACCCTGATATGATTGAGTGGAGATAAGAAAGAAGAAGACACATCCCCAGCAGACACTATCAACAAGCTCTACAAGCTTGATACCCTGATATGATTGAGTGGAGATAAGAAAGAAGACACATCCCCAGCAGACATCATCAACAAGCTCTACAAGCTTGATACCGTGATATGATTGAGTGGAGAAAAGAAAGAAGACACATCCCCAGCAGACATCATCAACAAGCTCTACAAGCTTGATATCCTGATAGCGACACCATCTACAAGCTTGATATGATTGAGTGGAGATGAGAAAGAATATTTGAGGTCGAAAGTTTCTAATCCTGGAAACCTGGCTTTGATTATATGTTTTTAAAAATATATATTTATAGAGATATTTCTCCCATTACAATGTTTTCACGACAAAGTGATGTTAAAAAAATTGTGGCACCTTTTCACGAAATATTTTTAGTCACATTTATCCTGATATTATTCATGAATTTTGGCTAACAATTAATAGGTAATCCCATAATATTATGTTTAAATCAATAAGCTTGAGGGATAAGTTTCTTTTATTGCCCTCTATCGTTAAAATTTTACACAAATAAATTTACTGGCAATGCGTTTCTTTTTTTTTAAATCTCTACAGACCTTACTGCATATCATTGCAGTAAGGTCTGTAGAGATTTTAAAAAAAAGAAACGCATTGCCAGTAAATTTATTTGTGTAAAATTATAAGTTTCTTTTAAATACATTTATTTCAAGCTTTCGGGCTCAACCGCCCTTCGACAGGAAAAATTCTATTAGCTACTAAAGTTTTCGGATCTAAACTATAAATACATTTGTGAGACGCCTGAGTCTCGAGTGAATGCGAGGCTTGCCGCGGGAGGGGATGAAATCTTTGAAATCTTTCAAAGATCTCATCCCCTCCCGCGGAAAGCCTCGCATTCACTCGAAACTCAGGCGTCTCACAAATGTATTTATAGTTTAGATCCGAAAACTTTAGTAGCTAATAGAATTTTTCCTGTCGAAGGGCGGTTGAGCCCGAAAGCTTGAAATAAATGTATTTAAAAGAAACTTATCCCTCAAGCTTATTGATTTAAACATTATTCATGAATGATAAGGCACAATTTGGATTATAGATTAAAGCTACATCTTGTTTATCTTCATAGGAAAATGGGTGCCGTTGCCACGTTATTTACCTTGGATCAGAATTTGGTCAAATATTCCAAGGATCCAGGGAACAATGGTGTAGACGGACTTCTATCCTCCTAGCTCGATGGAAAGAGCGAGTTACTAACTCATGAAAGGATGAATTGTGAAGAGTAAGTATGAATGGAAAAATTAAAGTGTACAGGGATGGGAATCGAACCCACAGTTTTCCGCTTAACTGGCAGATGCCATGTCCACTAGGCTACCCTGGACATATTAACTCATGGTATTTAATAAATTGTATATGGCAATTATATAAGTAGATAATCCAAATTGTGCCTTATCACACACTATTTTTTTTATTTGGCCTTATTACCTTGTGTTTATAATCTATGACGTAATGCCGGCGGCGCGCGCCCGTTGGCTGCCGGCGAGAACTTGACCTCCCTGTGCGCGCGCATCCGTGACAGCGATGAGGAATTGAGGAAAGACGGTCGTGACTATATATATTAATAATAATAATATAATAATTATTATTATTATTATCATTAGATAATGATAATGATCATAATGATGATGCGCGCGCATCCGTGACAACGATGAGGAAAGACGGTCGTGACTATATATGTTGACTAGACGAATGACCAGGGCAACGCCCGTGTTTTACCCAATTGAATGTTTTTATTCCAATACTATTTGTTACAATTATAAATTGGAGCCGTGGATGTCACTCTTGTGAAACGTCCCGCTCCAAACTTTACATGTACATTAGGTCAGCTGGTATTACCCCTCATTTTCACCGCTAGAGGCGCGAGCGAATTGACTTTTTGTAAATATACATAATTATAAAGAAAGAAGCTTCTATAGAAGATAATGATCATAATGATGATGCGCGCGCATCCGTGACATGAGGAATTGAGGAAAGACGGTCGTGACTATATATGTTGATAATAATAATAATAATAATATAATAATAATTATTATTAATAATATCATTAGATAATGATAATGATCATAATGATGATGCGCGCGCATCCGTGACATGAGGAATTGAGGACAGCGATGAGGAAAGACGGTCGTGACTATATATATTAATAATAAAATAATAATAATAATATGATAATAATAATAATAATTATTATCATTAGGTAATAATATTCATAATGATGATGCGCGCGCATCCGTGACATGAGGAATTGAGGAAGGACGGTCGTGACTATATATGTTGACTAGACGAATGACCCGGGCAACGCCCGTGTTTTACCCGATTGAATGTTTTTATTCAAATACTATTTGTTACAATTAGAAATTGAAGCCGTGGATGTCACTCTTGTGAAACGTCCCGCTCCAAACTTTACATGTACATTAGGTCAGCTGGTATTACCCCTCATTTTCACCGCTAGAGGCGCGAGCGAATTGACTTTTTGTAAATATACATAATTATAAAGATAGAAGCTTCTATAGAAGATAATGATCATAATGATGATGCGCGCGCATCCGTGACAGCGATGAGGAATTGAGGAAAGACGGTCGTGACTATATATTAATGACGAATGACCCGGGCAACGCCCGGGTTTTACCCGATTAAATGTTTTTATTCAAATACTATTTGTTACAATTATAAATTGGCGCCGTGGATGTCACACTTGTGAAACGTCCCGCTGCAAACTTTGTGTCTGAGAAGCGATATTTTTATAGAAAGATGATCTGGCTTTTGTTTTCTGCTCGAATGAATGTTTTTCTGTTAGAATTTTGTTCCTGCGTACAAAATAATGAACTGGTTTCACCCCTGGTCTCTGCTTTTTGGAATTTTTCCCGATATAATTTTGTATCTGATAATCAAACATGATACAGCAATATCGTCATCATCATTTTCTGACTAAAAATATATAGTTTTAATAATTGAATTATATATATTTTTAAATAGCCTATCGTCTTCCCCGTATTTTTTACCTATGTATGGAAATTTTGGTTTGAATTAGTGAACTACTGCGAATTTGTATACCGGACATACAAACAAACATACAAACAGACAAACATTCATTTTTATATATATAGAATTTACTCTTCATTGTTGGCTTTTTATATTATATTTACTCTTCATTGTTGGCTTTTTATATTATATTTACTCTTCATTGTTGGCTTTTTTTTACATTCACTCTGTTGGCTTTTTATATTACATTTACTCTTCATTGTTGGCTTTTTATCTTACATTCACTCTTCATTGTTGGCTTTTTATATTATATTTACTCTTCATTGTTGGCCTTTTATCTTACATTATTCTTCAAGGTTGGCTTTTTATATTACATTCACTCTTCATTGTTGGCTTTTTATCTTACATTCATTCTTCATTGTTGGCTTTTTATATTACATTTACTATTCATTGTTGGCTTTTTATCTTACATTCACTCTTCTTGTTGGCTTTATATCTTACATTCATTCTTCATTGTTGGCTTTTTATATTGCATTCACTCTTCATTGTTGGCTTTTTATCTTACATTCATTCTTCATTGTTGGCTTTTTATATTACATTTAATCTTCATTGTTGGCTTTTTATCTTACATTCACTCTTCATTGTTGGCTTTTTATATTATATTTACTCTTCATTGTTGGCTTTTTATCTTACATTTATTCTTCATTGTTGGCTTTTATATTACATTTACTCTTCATTGTTGGCTTTTTATCTTACATTCATTCTTCATTGTTGGCTTTTTATATCATATTTACTCTTCATTGTTGGCTTTTTATCTTACATTCATTCTTCATTGTTGGCTTTTTATATTATATTTACTCTTCATTGTTGGCTTTTTATCTTACATTTATTCTTCATTGTTGGCTTTTTATATTATATTTACTCTTCATTGTTGGCTTTTTATCTTACATTTATTCTTCATTGTTGGCTTTTTATATTACATTTACTCTTTATTGTTGGCTTTTTATCTTACATTCATTCTTCATTGTTGGCTTTTTATATCATATTTACTCTTCATTCTTGGCTTTTTATCTTACATTCATTCTTCATTGTTGGCTTTTTATATTATACTAATGATGATGCGCGCGCATCCGTGACATGAGGAATTGAGGAATTGATTGACGGTGGAAAGACGGTCGTGACTATATATATTAATAATAAAATAATAATAAAATAATAATAATAATATAATAATAATTATTATTATTATTATCATTAAATAATAATGATCATAATGATGATGCGCGCGCATCCGTGACATGAGGAATTGAGGAAGGACGGTCGTGACTATATATGTTGATATATCTATTTATTCATATATTTATTATTATATAATCATATTTATTATTATTCATATTTATTATGTATTTAACCTTATATAATATTGTAACGTGTAAGGCCTCTAAACGGTTGCAACCTCCGCCAATAGATGGTGCTTTCGCCGGATTCCCTTGCTGGCTGATGTGGGAGTCGCCGACTGCTGTGGTCCCGTTTCTTGGGAAGGTTGGCTGTTAATACGCTTTTGTGTTGGCCCCAGGATGTAGGGTCATGTAAATACACATTGTCTGTTATTTTATTTAGATGTAATGTTAGTAATAGATGACAATAAAAAAGTGCTTCAAGTCTCCGTGCCGCCTCCTGTCGTTACTATCGCCACTGCCATCATCGCCAGGCTACTGCTGCTGCTACTACTCTTCTGGTAAGTCTCTCGTGTCCCCCCACCAGTGGTAAGGCCGAGAGATACTGCCAGAGGAAGGGAGTTTCCACTGCAGAGGTGGAACTCAGGACGTCTCTGGGTGGCCTGCGGGGAAAAGCCGCAGGGAAGAGCAACGGGAGCCTAAGTAGGTGAACCACGAAGGGAAGAAGCGAATCGTCGCAAAGAACCGGTAGGGTCAACACGCGACAACTGGTGTCAGAAGTGGGATTCTTCCTCGTGGAGGTCACCAGGAGGCTTTTTATTAAAAAGTTTTTTTTTTGGGGGGGGGGGGGTTGCTGACAAAGGCCCATTGACGTGAGAGGCCAAAGAATGGCTTCTGAGCAGGACTCGCTGGCCGAGATCGACCGGAGGCTGCAGGAACACCGGGAGGAGTGGGACAGATTAAAGCGCCGAACAGAAGAGAAAAGGCTTCTCAGAAACTTAGAGATGGAGAGGCTGCTGTCTCAAATGAAGGCCCACTGGCAGAATGGGACAGGTACGGCCGAGACAGCTTTGGATGATGTTGGCGAGGGCCGGGCAGAGTCCCGAGGACTGGAAGTCGAGCCGGGAAACATGGGGGAATTGCGTGGAGTTAGGGCCTGATTGAGGAGCCTCCTGGACAGACCTTGAATCTGCGTCACGCGGACCCGCGAATGAAGCGACCCAAGCGAGAAAAGAGGCTACGGCGAGAGAAGCGGTGCCCTCGGGAGAGGCGGCACCGGCGAGAGAAGCGGTCCCGGCGAGAGGAGTGGTCCCGGCGAGAGGAATGGTCCCGGCGAGAGAAGCAGTACCGGCGAGAGAAGAGGTCCCGGAAAGATGAATGGTCCTGGCGAGAGAAGTGGTCCCGGCGAGAGGAGTGGTCCCGGCGAGAGGAATGGTCCCGGCGAGAGAAGCAGTACCGGCGAAAGGAGTGGTCCCGGCGAGAGGAATGGTCCCGGCAAGATGAATGGTCCTGGCGAGAGAGGTGGTCTCGGCGTGAAAGGTGGTACCAGCATAAGAGGCGGTGCCGGCATGAGAAGCGCCTCCGGCACGAAAGGCGGTACCGATATAAGAAGCGGAGTCGGCATAAGAGGCTGAATCAGCATGAGAGGTGCCTCCGGCGTGAGAAGCGGTTCCGGCGTGAGAAGCGGTACCGGCGAGAGGGGCGGCTCCGGCGAGAGGGACGGCTCCGGAGAAAGGGGCGGCTCCGGCGGGAGAGGCGATCCCGGCGAGAAGGACGGCTCCGGCGAGAAGGACGGCTCCGGCGAGAGGGGCGGCTCCAGCGAGAAAGATTGGCTCCGGCGAGAAAGATTGGCTCCTGCTAGAAAGGCGATTTCAGAGAGATGGGCAGTTCCGGCAAGAGAAGCGGCACCAGCGAGGAGCGTGACATCGGGGCGACGGAGGCGATGAGGCCGGATCGGGACGATCCGCCTTGAGGGGGAGGCAGTGTTACGTGTAAGGCCTCTAAACAGTTGCAACCTCCGCCAATAGATGGCGCTTTCGCCGGATTCCCTTGCTGGCTGATGTGGGAGTCGCCGACTGCTGTGGTCCCGTTTCTTGGGAAGGTTGGCTGTAAATACGCTTTTGTGTTGGCCCCAGGATGTAGGGTCATGTAAATACACATTG